GTAAAGGCCCTATACTGGGTGTCTTACAAAAGCTAGCACTATATAACCTCCACAGTAATCCCCAGGAAGACAGAGTTTCACCTCCTTTTTTATATCAGTTAGCTCCTGACGTGTAACAACACCTCCAAGACCTAGTGGCTTCCAATGATTCATGGGTTAGCGTAGCTCGGTAGATTGGCCCTTGGTTGGTTTCAGCAGGGTGGTTCTTCTATTTTTAGCTGGGCTAGGACACATCTTAGGTGAGGACGAGTCAGCTGCGCTGCTCTCCTTCTGGGGACTGGCTGGCTGTAGGTTTGGGTGGTGGGAATAACTAGCATCTTTAATCTCTCATTGCCCACAGCCTAGACTGGGCTTCTTAACTTGGGGGTTGAGTAGGACTCCATAATGCAGAGCAGAAACCTTCAGGATAAGTTTAGAATGGCACAGTGCCATTGCTACCATGGTCAAGGAGCCAAATGAAGTCACAAGGCCATCGCAGATTAGAGAGTAGAGCAGTAGATGCGACCTCCTTGCAAAGTCACATTGTGAATGGGTTTGGACACAGAAAGAGGAAGAATGGCAGCCAATTTTGCAGCCAATGTCTCCTACCCTTTCCATACGTGAGGAAAGTGAAGCTCAAGCCAGTTAAGCTGCCTGACCATCCAGGGACTCCTAGCTGGTCAGCTACAAGGCTGGATTAATACACATCCACAGGACTCTACTAACTAAATTTCTCAAAGCTGCTTTATTAAAAAATTCAAGGATTTAGAGCAAATGAGATCATTTGAACTTTTACATCAACAAATGCTTGTGAGTGTTCATTACTTATACAGCACCGTGTGCTAGGTCACTCCACAGCATCCTTATGGGATACAGATGATTAGCTCCTCCTACAGATTAGGAAACTAAGGCCACAGCCTAGGATGCTGTTCAAAAAGGATTTGAACCCATTTCTTCTGTTTCCTTCTGTTCTTTCAGGCATGCTGGAGGCGCCTAGTCTGAGGTTCATATACTGCTAGGAGGCATCCCAAAGTCCTTGAACAATTTAGGGTTACATATAAAATTACATGTATGTGTAAGTAGCATTTCTCTGAAAAAGGAAATATTTTATTAGGTTCTCAAAATAGACTATGACTTCCACAAAGCCAAGCACCATATTTGTAGAAAAGTCTTGACCTTCCTCCCAACCAGGAGACAGAGCCCTCCTGATTATGCCCCATTACCTCTGTATGTTCAGAAACCTAGAATGGAAAGAAGCCTTGGGTTATATCCTGATGAAATTGAATGCCACCAAGGTCCTATGCTTCTTAGAAGCAAATCTCACCGTGTCCTCTAGATTGCAGTGGCACGTGAATAAATGCCAGATGGCTGAAAAGGTTCCACCAACACAACAGGTAGCTGCAATGGTCAAAACAGTGATGCTTTGATGCCAGAATTTTCTCCACCATCTGCAGACTTAGACTTGGAATCAGAGCCCCAAGGCCTAACCCCTTTCTCCTTTCTGCCTTAAGATGTGACCCAGTGATGGGTTTTTCTCTATGAAATTTGATATTTGCCACTTGCTCATGCACCCATAATCCCCAGCCTTCTTGCTCTTACAATGCTCCTGTTAATGGCTCTGAGCCTTGGAAGGTAGAAATGTCCCACTGAGTCACCTGCCCCTCCTTGAATTAACAGGCAGATGCACTTCTATTGAGCTCATGTTGGAGGATTTCAGCTTATTTGTTACTGCAGCAGAACCTAGTCTACCCTGACCTACAATCCGAATCTAGCTCTTTCATTCATTCCTTCTACCTTTGAGACAAGCCACAATTTCTCTGGGCCTGTTTCCTTATTGGTAGAAGGGATTCCTTATTGTAGAAGGGATTCTACAAAATGACCTCTGAAATCTTTCCAGTGCTAAAATTCAGTCGTTCCCCTTGCATGTTTTCCTTCCTCCTAGAACTATCTGAAGACACCATAGGTACTTGCTAAAGAAGAGGATCTTATTAGGGGTGTACTGCATCACAGTGACACCTTGGAGAGTGACAGACAGCAAATACCATGGTGTGCCTGTGAGATTATAATGGAGCTCACGTGACATCCATAGCACAATGCATTCCTTGTGTGTTTGAAGTGATGCTGAGGGAGACAAACCTCATGCACTGCCAGCCATATAAAAGTACTGCACGTACAATTGTATATAGTACCTCGTACTGGATAATAACTCTTCACCAGTTTCTGTATTTACTATACTATACATTTTTGTCATTATTTTAGTGTGTGCTCCTTCTGTGTATGACATGAAAGCCTACTGTAGTGTAGTGTGCTGGGTCATACCGGCAGCAGCCCCATCAGTTTCATGGTTGCTGTGTTGGAGCCCAGGGTGCATGACTGACCTCTACATGTAAATGTGTGTAAGTGCACTGCCCGTACAAACACGACTGTCCCATGATGAATACTCAGAATATGTTCTGTATTTAACTGTATTTGAAATCCTTTCTCCCAGGTAAAAGCATTCTAAGACCTTAGAAATTCAGAGTGATGCCTTGGGGTACTTAACTGCCAGCAAGCACAATATTGATCGGAATATCAATGGTGACATTTCATCCAGAGGTTGAGGGGGGACCCTCAGGGAACCTCCCTCAGCCTTGTATAATGCCCTTCTCTGCTCTTGGAGCCTGGCAGCCCCAAAGTTCCCAATTACCGCAGACCTCATCCTCAGAAGCTGTCTAACCGTTCCCCTCGGCTGACGCTGTCAGCTGCCTGCCTCGGAAGACACGGTCTCATTTTTCAAAGGGACTCAGTGGTGCCTTTTCTTAGAAAGCTGTCATTAAAGCCACTGTCCACATATCAGTAGCAAGAAGCCAAAGACACCTCTTTGATGCGATGTGTGAGGATGTCTGTTGGATAGCAACGGCTCCCCAGATCCTGATGATTCTCCTGGGGTTCAGCTCTCTTGAGGTCTATTTCTGGCTCTTGCATTTGAAAGAGGGCTGGGGTCCCTCTTCCTGTTATAAATAAAGGCCACTGCAGCTGCTTGCATCCCAGTAACCATAGTAACGATGGGCCACATGACAGGTGTCTGATCTCCATCAGACATTTCCTGCTATTAAGTATTCTTTATCCTTCCTTCCACCCCGCCCTGGATCCTGTTTAAATTGGTGGCAGTGAGGGCCTCCCACGGAAGCAGCTCAGGCCTAGGAGACCTGGAGCCAACAGAATTAATTAAACCTCTTATTTCCCCCAGAATATTTTGCAATGCCAGGCCCAGGAGCCAAGACAACCTCCCCAGGAAGCTCTGATAAGAGAGACTGCTAAATCTCACACCAGGGATTGAGGGAGCTCAGCTCCACAGCGGGCAGCAGCAGGGCTCAGGGGGAGATTAAGCCTGGTATACAGCAGGCACAAAATCAATGCTTGTGGAAGAGTCAACTTAATGAAATGGATCTCACATGGCAAATGAGAATCCTTTCCAGACACTGCAAGTCCTACATGACGTGACAATGTGAGTCATTCAATGGCTATTAAGTGTCTGCTGTATGCACCCATCAGTGAAGGCGGGATGCACTAAAGATGTTAGCTTGTTGAATGAATCCTGCCTTTCTGGGAGCAGTTGAAGTGCATGGCCATGTTGGGAAGTGTGCAGAGTCTGGAGGGTTCACAGGGATCCCATCACAAAGGGTTTTGGATCAAAATTATCTCCGGGGTTTATCTCTGGAAACTTTGCAGCTCACACGCACAGACAGCTTTGCATTTCAGAAACACCCTTTTTGATGCCCTGTAGGGAAAAGGTAAGAGTCAGACTATGGTTTTGACCAAAGAGCCCAGCTCTTGAGAGAATGGATAACCTTTCTTCTTTCCTCTTGGAACCTGGCCAGTGTGCTGTGTGATGCTCCTGCTACGTGGCTAGGCCCAGTGGAGGAGAACCAAAGTGTGTGGCAGTGACCACCAAGAGCTGGCCATGTGAATGAGCCATTGGACACCCAGCTCAGGGGGCCCCAGATGACTGCAGTCCCAGAAGGCACAGCACCGAAAACCACCCAGCTGAGCCCAACCACCCCACAAAACCAGGGTAAGTAGGAAAGTGTTCTAAGCCACTCAACCATGGGTGGTTTTTATTCAGTAACTGAAAACCTGGAGCAGGCGACCCACCAGGATTCACCTTGCAGCTCAGCAGGAGAAGTCTAGCTGGAGAGATCATGGACTGGGCCCTCACTGGCTTCCTGGGAATTTGTAGATAAAATCCTGACAGCCCTCCTCACTGGAGTCCAGCCCACCTGGAGCATGGCCAGCTCAGCCGATATCTGCTGAATCGAACTCTGCTCTTAATGGAAAATGCAGTGATCACTCTTGTCTTGATCTAAGACAGCCCTCCCCACATCTGCAATCCTAACTTCCCCAAACGCTAAGCATGCTTTTGTTCTGAGTCTGTGTACTCAGCCACTGCATCTGATGCTCTCTGTTCTCCACAGATGAGTGCTTTTGAGGGTGGGCTTGAGTGTAGTTCCACATGTCCAGTGTCCCCTCTGAGCCTGGCCTCCTCATCTGTACATGGGATGAGAATTCCTGCAGATCCAAAGAGATAATAAAAGTGAAAGGCCAGGTCGAACCTAGGCAGAACACAGACGTAAATGGCTGCGCTGTAGTCCTCTTCGGCAGGACATTGGATTGTCTCAAGCTTGTCTTCCTGTAGGAAGCGTCCTCCCTAGGTGAGCTGGGCTGTCTGCAGCTCCGCCTATTTGCAAAGCTCAGAGGGTACTGATATGACAGCCTCTTTGCCAGGCCCTGGGAGAGTAAGAGTGTGGTGAGCAAAGGGTTAACAGCCTGGTAAAGTCACAGGCCTGGGTCTGAGCGCTGCTGGTGCCCAGCCGTCCCTGCAGGGCGCACCAACAACCCTAAGTGAGGCTTCTGTCACCTGGCGGCTGGGCTCCTGTCGGGGTGGGGGACTGGTCACACGTTGCTGTTTGACGCGGCTCTGGGTCAGCCTCCGGTCTGACGTCCTCCCTGTCCCCGCCTCCCTCCCCGCCCCTCCAGCTCGCTGGTCGGCGGCAGCGGGAGAGCTGCCTGGAGGCGGGAGGCGACGGGAGGCGGCGGGAAGAGCCCCGCGCAGGAACCCGCACCATGGTGCTCTCCGTGCCTGTGATCGCGCTGGGAGCCACGCTGGGCACGGCCACCAGCATCCTTGCGCTGTGCGGGGTCACCTGCTTGTGCCGGCACATGCACCCCAAGAAGGGGTTGCTGCCGCGGGACCGCGAGCCGGATCCGGAGAAGGCAAGACCCGGGGTGCTGCAGCCTGCCCAACAGGTGAGCGGTCCGGGCCGCGGGGACGCCTGGGGATGTCGCTTCTCTCTGGCGCG